TATTACCACTGACATGATCCAAATTTCTAAAACATGCTTTCATGGTTTTCTACAGCTTCCACAGAACAGAAGTAAAATATCTCAAGAAGTCACAAGAACAGGAAAGATAAACAGAAGCATCAAGTTTTTGACCTTCCAACAAAAGTCATAATTTAAGAGGGTTCATCGCTCTCATTTATGCTTCTTTAGTCTATCTTAGACTTAAAAAAATAGAATACAGCTACTGGCTTCAGTCATAAACTCGGATACTCAAGCTGTCCATTCACCTGTTGAAAGAGCGAGTGTAGGTAGTAGCAGTGAAAGCTTCAAGCTGCTCCACAACATCCTTTGAACCCTGACCTAAGGGACCAACTCCGACAGTCCGCAGGAAGCTGGGTTTCCAGGACCATTCAGCCTCACTGCTGAGACTGTCAATAGAAGTGCCATCTCTGACGTAGACAGCTCTGCACTAGGGGCTGGTCTAACAATCACATCACATAGCCTGCCAAACGGGAAAAGGACAGCGTTCGGGCACCACTGACCTGGGATAGAAGTGAACTTGAGACTGGGGCTAAAAAGCTCTACTGCTAATCCTCCGCCCTAAGTCCTGTAGTCTGTGTATACATCTTAAAGGAAGTTCAGCTTTGTTACCAAAAAAAAAAAAAAAAAAAAAAGGCAACTATACAAATCAGCCACAAGATGGCGCAAGCATCATAGTATTACAACATCAGACGCAAAAGACATTCATCATTCAACACACCATGTCCTCATGACTTAGGGAATCTTATCCTGGTACATCACTTATTTGTCCCTTTCTTTTTCTACTTACTGAGACTTGGTCAAATACTTTATACAACGTTTGTTTTTTGTTGTTGTTTGTACAGGTTTAGGGGTTTTTGTTTGCTTGATTTTATTTTCTTAAGAAGCAAACAATAATCTTAAACTTGAAAAAATCCTCAACTACATTTTTCCTCCTTTTAGCTGGTTCATTTTCCTGGACATGACCATGCCCTAGCTAACCTCATACCAATACTGAAGGGAGAAATTACAAGAATGGCTTAAATACATGAATTCTAATTTTTACATTGTTTTCAAACATACAAAGAAGCTATTAAATTGATTTTTATGAAAATGTGAAGTTGAGGGTAGGGAGTTGCAAAGGATCATGGAGAGAACATCAGAATGTGTGTTTAAGTTATCTGATTCTGGTCCTTGCTCTAAACAGCAGTGTGACTTTCAGGTAAGACATTTGGTCCCCCTGTTCCTCCATTTCCTCATCTCAAAAATGTGACTGGATTTGAACTTCTCTGGACCTAATATTCCTATTACTCTGACACTGTAAGAATCCAAAATGAATAATATGAGGCTATAAGAGGCCAAAAATCAAGAAAAATGGAATTAGGCAAGTGAACAGAATCATCAGGGGTAGCAACAGTGTAAAAGGGAACATAGCGGTGTCTGCTGATTTCCCTTACCTTCCCACAACTATGACTGCAAATTATAACCCATATTTTAAAATCTTGTAAGTATGTATTTATTCAGCTACAGATTAAATTCTATGATAGGTCATTGTAAAGAGCAGACTATTATTCTTTTTTCATTCTCAGATGTACACAATTATCCACTAAGGATTAATAAACATTAAACTCTACTGAACTTTCATGCCAGTAATGACAGAGTAATTGATACAAGACCAACCCTCCCTCTCTGAACAACTATAACAATGGACAAAATGTGTGAAGCAATCGTTTTAAAAAACTGGACAATAGGCAGTGTAGGACTGAAATCCTGTGAGGAGAGAACACTTGAAATGAACCCTACAATCACCATGGCTCTCAGCCGTAGGCACTGATCAGATTCCAGCACGGGGGGGGTGGGGCCCAAATGGAGCCTAACATGTCTCTAAGCTTAGGAGGTAGATACTGGAAGTGGGGACTGCCGAGACGGATGAAACAGCAGAGTGATGGAGAGAAGGAGCTCCAGAAATCTATAAAGGGGTCCTGTTAAGTCTTTGGCTGAAAATGAACTTGCGTATGTAGAGGTAAGAGGTGTAACAGAGGACATTTATTGGGGAGCCATGGGTGGAATGGAGATTCTGGAGGTCACCCAAAGCAGGGAGATACAATTCTGACCAAACAGAGGGTGGAATATTCACTGAACGTTCCAGTCATTCAAATGGAATCCAAGAAAGACAAACCTCAAAAGTCAGGCTACTCTAGACGTGTCCTAACAAAGTTAACAATAAGCCTTGAAAGGATCTGTTAGTAAATTATCTGCTTGTCCAAATAAAGGCCAACATTCTCTAAAACAGGCACTGTCAACAGAGGTGACTTGCCCAGAGGCAAGAACTGGTTCTTGGGAGGATGAAGAATCTTAAATATTACAAAGATGCATGGCCCTCCAAAGGGCCACAGAACATGAACAGATGTACAGACACACAGTATATTCATGGTACTAAAATTTCCTGGGGAAGAGAGGAGCAATTAGGAAAAAAAAAGTCTAAAAAAGTTCCTTAGTGGAGTGCCAATGAAAAAAAGATTGAGATGCACTACTCCAAAGGAAACCAACAAATTCTAGGCTTTTAACAATTCAGCAGGCAATAGAACTCTAGGATTTTGTGGAACAGTGTGACATATTCAGATCAGCGTGCTAGAAAGGTATTTCCAGAGTGGAGTGGAGGGCGGTTTAGGATGGGAGAAGAATGGAAGGAGGCAAGGCTACTACAATCATCCAGACTGAGAAACATGAAGGCTTCCAGTAGTGCAGATGAAAGCAGGAGCTATTTAAGTGACAGGATTGTTAATTCTCAGTGACCAACTGGATGCACAAGAGGATGAAGAGGGAAAAATTAAAACATCACTCTGAAGTGACTAGTACTTGTCAAGTTTAAGTGTTTGTGTTTAAAGGACTCTGGGGTAGCAGTGCCCAGTAAGTAGTAAGAAATACGAATTTAGAGCTGTAGGGAGTTCTGAGTGAGAAATGCAAGAGAATTATCGCTGTGGTACTGAAGCCGCAGGGGCGGCTGAGAACACGAGGAGTAGGACAGTGGGGTAAGTGGAGAAGGAGTCCGAAGAAACCAGGCATCTGAGGGACAGGCAGAGAGGAGGAAGAGGGGCCAAGAAAAGAAAGCAAGCAGACAATGGGGTTGAAGAAAAAAGTACTGAGTTGTCCTCTACCTTTCCCCATTGGCATAGATGTTCCCCCAAAGTCTTAATATTACAAAGGGAATAAGAGAACTTCTTCATTTGCAATAAACATTGCAATTGAAGGACCAACTGAAGATTGAAGGACCAATCTCTACTATTTTTTCCTGGGATTGAATACTTTGAGGTATGGTATATGATTATAAGAAATTATCAAATGTCTTTAAGAAGATATTCTTCATTCCATTAAAAGACAACAGACTTATATATAAAAAGACAATAAGAATCAAAAGAGAATTACATAAAGACAACAGACTTATATATAAAAAGACAATAAGAATCAAAAGAGAATTACATAAATATTTCCTACATTCTACTCGAATGCCTCACGTGATAAGGTAAGGTAAAGTGGACAAAGCTGTGAAACAAGAAGCAAAGGACCACTCACTGCTCAACGCCCTACAATTGCTTCTCATCAAGCGAGAGTAGAGGCCAAGGTCTTCACCATGCCTGCAGTGCCCTTAGAGGTCTTTCCTCTGCCCCCGCTTCTGTAACCACAGGCACCCCTCTGTCCCACTTGGGCACAGAGAACAAACACCCTAGCAAAATGGGCACAGAGAACACCCTAGCAAACAGCCACACCGCCCTGCTGGTCACTGTCTGTCCATTTACTCATCTTCTTTATAGCATTTATCACTACCTGAAATTAAGATAGATGTATTCACTTGTTTCTTGTCTTCCCCATTAGAATATAAATTCCACAAGAGCAAGAACTTTCTCTCTCTTAGTCACGGCTCTTTTCCAGCACCTAGGACACTGCCTGATACATTACAGGGCTCAAGAAGGACTTGTTGAATGAAATCCATAATCAAGCTGGACCTCTTGGTTCTATCACATGTAAAATGGGGATAGTAATCCGCATCTGCTCTGTCTACCCTTCCTACAGTGAAACGAACAAAGCGTGTTAAAGCACTTTATAAACTGTGAGTCCCGTACAACAGAAGGTGGTGGTGGTGGTGAAGGACGTTTCCTGACACAGCAGAAGAGAGCTGCGGCAGCAAATAGGTGAACACATGAATTTTTTAATGAAAACCTGGAGACTAATGTTTAGCTCCTAGCTGCTGCTTCCATTTTTCTTTATAATAGAAAATATATCTGAGAAATGCTTATCCAAATACATGATACCTAAAGGACTCTATTCTTCAGGAATGTAATTCTTTTTTTTTTTTGGCGGTACGCGGGCCTCTCACTGTTGTGGCCTCTCCCGTTGCGGAGCACAGGCTCTGGACGCGCAGGCTCAGCGGCCATGGCTCACGGGCCCAGCTGCTCCGCAGCATGTGGGATCTTCCCGGACCGGGGCACGAACCCATGTCCCCTGCATTGGCAGGTGGACTCTCAACCACTGTGCCACCAGGGAAGCCCTAAATGTATCTTTTTAAGACTCTAATAATAAAGGCTATGAAGCCTATCCCAGAAAAAATTACACATAGAAACACACATCTAAAAATACTGATATAGTTTCAGGACATTCACGAGCCCCTGAAGTCCATCCATGAACACTGCAGTTTAAAGACTGCAAACTCTGAAAAGGCCCAAAATTGGATTTCAAAATCCTAATAAATGCTAAATACCAATAAATACTATCTAAACTCAAAAAACCACATGATTTGGATCTATTTTGTGAGTCAGGAATCCAACGTACCTTCAAGTCCATCATTAGCCAGCTCTACAAGCATTTTTAGATCCCCAAGTCTTTGGCACAAGCTCCCAAAGACGATGCACTTAATGCTGACTGAGGCGTGTGGGGGCAACAATAAAAACGACATGAAAACCAGTGTGAAGACCAGTAAGTACAACAAAGGGTGCAATCTGACTCACAAAATCTGTCTCAAGTTTTCCCATTTCTTGCTTGTAGCTTCTCATCCTGTTGCTGTACATTCCTCGACTTTGGGGTGGTATCTCTCGGACTTCCAAATCCATCTGTTCCAACTGGAAGGGTGAGAGAAAAACATGACTTAAACCATATGCTTATTCTTCATGTGACTAGACATTTCGAGCGGAAAGGATTTAATTCCAATTCCTCAGTTTACAACTTGAGGAATCAGACCCAGGGAGCTAACTGCCTGTGGTCAGTTGAACACTGGGACTATTTTTGTGCTCCATGTTTGTTAAGGTCAACAAATAGGTACTGAGTGCTTGCCAAGGGACATATAGAGTGCCAAAGTGTTTACTCTGTCAAGCATTTTTTAAAACTATGTGCATTAAGCCAAACATCCTCAATGATAATGATCTGACTATCCATGGAGTATCCTATCATTCCACCCAACCGGGTCTGGTCTTCTGACCCCAAACCACCAGAACTATGCCAAGATAAACCAAACCGTTATTTCTACAATTGTCCTATGAAATGTCAGCCCAGTCTTAGTCATTTGGTGAAAATTCTCCTGGAAAGTCTTTTCTGATTAGGAAAATCCCATGGCAACCAATATGGGATCTTGACCTCCAGCCTTATACTTTTTAATCATGTTGATATGGAGTTAAATGGATACAGTAACGTAAAATTATACAAAGCTCACTGAAATCAGAGCAGGGCACTTTATAACAACCTGTCGTGATGTAACACTTTGCAAACAACACATGAGCATTTAACGGGAGGCAATACAGAAATAGTATGATGGTTAAGAACACAGGCTTTCAAGTCAGACGCCTGCGTTCACAGTTCACATCACAGGCTACACTGCTTACTAGTCATGCAACCTTGGACAGGCTTCTTAACTTCTCTGGGTCTTACTCTTTCCATTTCTAAAAACAGTACGTCTTTTGTAGGGCAGTTATGAAGATTAAACAGGGTAATTCCTATAATGTGCTTAAGACAGTGTCTTACTTGGTAAACACTAGGTTAATGTGAATAATAGGAGTGATGATTACTGATGATGAAGAAATACAGCAAGCATGATACAAGGAGTCAGCTGTAGTGTATACTTGGCATTAAAAAACAAAAACCAACAACTACAAATTGGCTCAGGCCATGTCTAATCAACTCACAACCAAAAATTTTGTCAGATATTTTGCCTTTTAAAGCAAATAATCCTAATAAATTATTTCCATGAACACTATACACTTGGCACTAATAAAACTCTTACTTGTCCAGTGTCAGGGTCTGAATAACAACAGTAGAACTCAGATAAACCAAAACACCATGTTTCAATTCACAGGCCTTAATTTTTATTAAAAAAAAAAAAGATTGTTTTAATTACCCTTGATTTATGCAGTAACCATTTAAATTATTGACATGTCTCAACGTAAATGTGAAGCACCAATAAGTTAGTTACTCAGCAAGGCAATTACTTAGAGCACTTCTCTGAGATCGTCATTATGTACTTAGTTCTAATAAGGTTGAGCAGGATCATCCAGACAAATGACTGCAAAGTACGTGTAAGAGAAAATCTGAGCGTTAACTGCATTTTTGTTTCAGGCGTTTTACAAGGACACTTAAAACTAACCAAAAGTAGGTAAGAAAGAAAAAAAGGAAACACACAACAAGCACTTTAAATGAAACCAGAAATAAGGCTAATATGCACTAGTTTCACGTTGTCACAACATTCATGTGACCAATGTCAAGTGGAAGACATGGTAGTTATGAGACATGCAGAGTCCAAGAGATTAATGCAAACTGTTCAGCAGAAATACAACTCCTCCTAATAAGTAAAATCATAATGAAGTTCTTCTCCCAGCATCCTCATCAAAAGGACAGTATATAATGATCAGTATCCTTAATAAGGATGTCCTCAGAATTAAGTAAATTAGCTGCCTGATCATTTTAAACAAACAGAAACATATCGAAGACAAAACTCTACGTTAGTAACAAATGGAGATGACCATGTAAGCTCCATGGGGGTATAACTCAGTTTTTCTTGGTACAGTGACATCTGGCTTATCAGGAAACCAGCTTTCTAACATCACCAAGTAAATCAACCGTCTCCAAAAGAAGGCAAACCAATGAACCAAAACACAGGTTTTGATGGCAAACAAAACAAAACAAAAACAAAAACACCCGCTACTGAGAACTCAACAAGATAAGAAGTTAACTCAAGATCCAAAGAATTGATCTGTTGTATCACTTATGGTAAAGCCTGCCAACCTGAAGGAAGAAGCGTCCCCGTTGGCAGCTATGGTATATAAAAGGCCAGTCTTTTCATGTGAAGGCCAGGAAGCATGAGAGAAACAGCTGACTATAAAAAGGAGAGAAAGGAAACAGAAAAGTATTTGGGATAAAAAAAGAAAAAAAAAAGAAAACTTCCAAAAGAGAGGCAAACATGAGAAGCTGAGGAGTTAGAACAAAGCTGCCCCTGCAGAGATAGTGAGATGAGAAGTAGATCTTACAGGGTGAGGAGAGCGTAGGCGTTCCGACAGCTAGAAAAGAAGCAGAGACAGGCAAGATGGAGCATCAGCTCGGCAACTCGCCTCCTTCGCATTCACAGACACGAAGGAAAGGTCTGTGGCGTGATGGGAGGCTACAGCTGCCTATTCCTCAGACCCTGCAAAGCAGCAGCCCCCCGTGTATGGTCCCGTTAACAAATGTTACTCAGGCAAATAAGCCTGGGAAGTGCTGCCCCTTAGGGTCCCTTCCTAGAGACTTGTCGTGCCTCGTAGCCTACTTTAGGGTCTAAGAAGGTTCTCTAGAAAAATAATAACCAAAAAAAGACCCAGAATTGGAGAATTCTGTTTAAGCTACAGTTTCCCGAACTTGTTTGAACAGGCAACACCAGTTAACAGAAACACGCTTTGGGAAACTGTTGTAAGTTTATCAGTTAGAACACCAAGTAGTACCCTTCAGTATTTAGAAAAGCAACACGCTCATTTAGGACCACAATGCAGTAACAAATTGAATCATACTTGCAATACCTGGCTTTGAAACCAAAAATTAGGACACAATATATTTTAATACTTTTTGCTCCTTGATTTGAGAAGCTAGCTAGAGCTCTGGGTTTAGCATGTCTAAGTACAAATCCTTACTTCACCACTTACTGGGTGTGGGACTTCAGATAAGTTACTCAATCCTCCTAAGCCTCAGTTTCCCCATCTACAAAATGGGGGTAATGACACTCCTCTGTGGGTCTCTCACGCTTCTACATGTCTTGCTGGGCATGCCAAGAATGCAAGGTCCTGACCACTGATTCCCAGGCAGGGAATAATGTTGGGGTAAGAAACAATGTGTCCCTCGGGGCAAAGAGCAGGCTTACTTACAGGCTGTTATAAAGCAGTATGTTCCCCAGGCTCCATGTTCCTGTCCTATAAGATAATCTGCTGTATGTGCAGGCATTCTTCTAGGCAAACATGCATCAGCCCTGTGGGAACTGGGCCTCAGGGAACTGACGCAAGCCTGCTGCAACTTTGGCGGCTGCTTTTGCTGTGACTAATAAAAGCCTTTGGTCTCTGACCTAGGAATCTCATGTCTTCTATCAGCATCCATGAGATTGTGGCAGGCTCACTTATTGGTGAGCAAGCAGGGGAAAATCTCGATCCTTAACAATTTTTACAAATAGGTACAAATAGTACCTATCTCACAGGCTGTTGGTGAAAATTAAATATTAAAAAGCAAGTAATACGCTTAACCCAGTGTCTAGTACCCAGGATGCCTTTAACAAGTGTTAGCTATTTATAACCATTACGAAAAGTATTATGAAGGAATAAAAATTCGAGGTGGACATTTAATGAATCACCTTTACTAAGAAGAATAAAATCCCAAGAAGTGATTAAATTCTCTTCCATCTAAAAACTGATGAATTCTGAATCATGAACTGCTAATCAGTAATGCTTCACATTTCTACAATGAATAAAAGAGACTTAGAGGAAGGCATCAGATTAAACGGCTCTGGGTGTGTTTTAAATATGTTACCAAGTCTACGCATACCAGTTCTTTTGCTTCTTCGAGCTGTTTCTCCACATTTGCAACCACCTGCTTCTTCTCATCTGAAACAAATAATAACATCAAGGAATTGCTAAGGATACAGATAAATTTAATATTTAAAAACTTCTATTTTTATGTACCTTTTTTCCTTTCTGGTCAGAGTAGAGAATTACCATTATCAGTCAAACGGCCATATCATTCTTTAGTGGGTTAGGGACTACTATAAGCCACTGATTCTAGGCTATCTGGAAATACATAATCCTATGGAGCACTGAATTAAGAGATGCCATAACATTTTTAAGAGAAACCAAAAATTATTTTGGCCTTTAGAAGAGACTGTGTCAACAATAGCAGATTTAGTGGTGGCATGAGGAATCCGCAAACTCATGACTTTAAATTGGGAATAGTGGATTTATGAACACAATTTAAAAGTCACATATAACAACAATTCCTAAAACTGGACAAGTTCTTACAATCCTTTAAAAAAAATTATGCTTTCATTAAGAGTTGAGTGTAATGGAAGAAATATTTGAAGTCAGAAGTACTGATTCTAACCCCAAAGCCATTACCTCATGGTTATGGGATCCTGGGTAAGAAAGAGTTTTTACTGAGACTCAGTCTAAACTGTCTAAAATGGAAATTTAAAGCATCTACTGGATTCTTTTTAGCTCAAATAAGCTGATGCAAGAGAATTTACTTTTAATTTGTGAAGTGCTAAGTGTCTGTATGTGATTTTTTTCAAACTCAACCACAATCAAGTTATAACTCAACTATAATTCCTCATTCTGGGAGAGACATGTTCTAGCAGATACTTTCAGAAAAATTTTCCCTACTCCCATTCCAAATCAATCAGCCCATTTATTTAGAAATGGCACCTGAGTTTTGTGCTAACCTAATTTATTGACCATTTATATTTTTGTCTACCTAACACCCTTCTCTTCTCAGGCAATAAGCCTCGCTCTTTCGAGGCTCTCCTCTTCACCAAGTAGGTCAATGGGAGATACTATGTTCTTCTATGACCCTGCCTCTCTGGTCACAGTGACTTGCCAAAGGATGGCCTTCTCTTTCCAGCTGGACTAATACTAGTAGCTCAATCCCTCTGGCTACATTGGTCTGGGGGGTGAGGGTGGGATGCGTATAGGATCCAATCAGACTAATCAAAGTCCTGTAGTAACAGGAAAGTCTTTTCCTCTCTCTTGGTAGAGTTATGACAATGTGAGTCTAGAAGCTGTTGGCATCCATTGCTCTAGCTACAAGGAGCAAGCCAATTTCCAGTGGTTGAGAATGAAAGCCTACATTTACAAAGAAGCAAAGCTGATAGATAGATAGAAAGACAGATAAAGATGAAATAGATTTTGTTAGTTAGCTTCTTGTTCCAGACAACTCTGGAACAGGTTTTACTTGACTTTATCATGGTTTGGTTTTTTGAAACAACACATTTCTTTTTCTTTATTTAAGTTGGCTTTCTGTGACTTGAAACCCAATGACTAATACAACAGACTAGAAAAGTCAGGAAGCTTGAATGGGTACAATACCTAGCAGCTGACTAACTTTTCATAAGGATAGTTAATACCAAGTGGGGAATCTTTAATAGAAGTTATTATTTTACTAGAATAATAACTAGGTTCTGATAACCTCAACTCCTTCCCTTTGATCACCACCCCCCCAAAAACTAGGGGGTAGCTATCACAGAAAGTGTTTTGTGTGTACTCTAAGAATTTCTCCCTAAGAAAAGTGCACATTTAGAATTAAAATTCAGCTTGATTTTCCCTCTTTGAGAAAGTTAAGCCTACATACGGCCAGATTAAAAATTTAGTATACGACCCCAAATTTATATGCTTCTGGTACATGTCAATCCATCTAACATCTCCACAAATTATAGTAGAACCACACTGTATTTTTGCAATAGTGCAGAATATGAAACAAGACAAGCCTATCCTGGACCAAACCTTTACCTCTAACCCTGATATATTTCCAGGACTCCAGATCTTTAATCCCTATGCATCTGCCCATCTCCACTGTGACTACCTGGCAAACTGCTATTCAAAACTCTCTTCAGAAATCACTACCTCTTTGAAGCTTTTTCTAACCCAACAGAAGAATTAACTACTCACTCTTGCAGAAAACCCCTAGAACCCTTACCTAATCCTCATGATTTATCTCTCACACTTACAGGTCTGATTTATCTTCTACCTTGGAGGCCCTGGGAAGACAGGAACCATGTCTTAGTCCTAAAATTTAGCACTGAGCCTGGCACATAATCAGTTCTCGAAAACTGATGGTAAACTGAATAAATAGTGTAGTCAGTGCAAGACTTTACAAAAGAAGCTATGCCACCAACCACCCTGGTTTCCCTTTTCCCTACCTGACCCCTTCCCCCACTTAATCTTTCTAAAATGTGGCTCTGATTGGATCACTTGAGCCTAACAGTCAAGGCCCTCCACATTTCAGACCCAAGCGACCTTTCCAACTTTATTTCCAACTACTAGCTCTCTCGTATGTGCTCTGCATACTAACCAGACAGACTATCCTTTACTACCCAAGCACATCTACCCCCCTCCCCCCAACTCTAAGCCGTTGTTCAAGCTACCATTTAGGTTCTTTGGTTGAATGGAACAGAACTGATTCTGGCTAACCTAAGCCAAAAAGGGAATTTATTAGAGTAATTCAGGGTGGATCACAGAATCAATGGAAAAGATGAGTTCCCAAGCTCAGGGAAGACAGTACCCAGGGTGGCTCAGGAAACCAAGGGAGCAGGAAGTCACCGACAGTCTCTGCAGAAGGAGAGTTAAAATTCCAATTCCTGGCAAAAATTCACTGAATGTCCTCGCTTGGGTAAAGTGTTCACCTCTTGACCTGGACAGGGCATGGCAGCCTGTCAGTTCCACCAAGACTGGGTTTAGGGAGTTCCTCAACGGAAAATTGAGGAGCTGCTCTCATAAGATAGAATGGGGGATTCGGGGCCTTCCGAAACAACAGAAACCCATTGCTTGCAACTCTTACACTCTTTCCCTGTTTTTGTCGGCTAAATCCCACCATCCTTCCAGGTGACCTCCTGGAACATGATCTTATCTCCTTTGAATTCCTAGACCTGTGTCCTCTGCCCTAGCATCCCTGATGATCATTAGAAATTGGTTCCTGTAGTTTTTCCCTTCAGCCTCATTTCCAGCTCCTTGAAGGCAGGGACCACTCTTGACACATGTTTGTCATAATTTTGTATTTAGCATAGAGAGCTGTACACAGTAGGTGCTCACTAAGTGTTTACTGAATGAATCAGTCTTAGCATTCAGCAACACATTTGTTATTCACAGAGAAAGAGAAAAAGAAAAATTGTATCAGTGAGGACTGGGGCAAATCTTCCCACTTAGGATGGCAAGTTTCCCTTTATGAATAAAATAATGTTAAAACAAAGCCATTCTAGAATGATCCTTGTGATAAAGGACTAGAGTTGGGGATTCCGTGGAGAAATGGCTGGTGATTCTAGGACTGGTGTAGGAAAAATACAAGATGATTCTACAGTACCTTATAATATCAGAAAGTATGAAAGTGTTAAAAAGGGGGAAAAAAGCCCCACAATGATGGGAGTATAGCAAAAGGACACAAAAGCCAGCTGGAAGGGCTTCCAATGGTCAAAGCTGGCATAATCTGAGCAACAAAATAAAGTGGTATTAGAATATAACATGAAGTATTTAATAAACGAGTCCATGGATATAAATGACTGAATTAATAAGCGGAGGAGAATAGACAAATCTTTCCTGTATAGAAGAATTCCAAATAATTTACCTAAATACTCAGCCTTCAAGGAGGTGGAGCACGACTCCCTACTCCTTAAGTGTCGGCTGTGCCTATGGTTTCCTTCCAAACAGTATGGAGAGGAGGAAAAGAGTAACTTTATAGTGGAGAAACCTGACAAATAAAACCTCAGCCAGGTGATCAAAGTTAACGTCAGGAGTGCTAAGTTACCTTACAGTGTGTACTCCTGATGTGATGTGATGTGATGAAAATGGTGCTTAACCTCTGTGGTCCTCCTCTCACAAACCTATAACCCGAGTCTGATGATGAGAAAAACATCAGGCCAATTTCAACTGAGGAGCATTCTATAAAATATCTGATCAGTACTCCTCTAAACTGTAAAGTCATCAAAAATAAGGAAAGGGCTGTGAAACTGTCACAACTAAGAGGAACCTGAGGAGCCATGACTACTAAATGTTCCGTAATACCCTGAATTGGGTCCTAGAATAGTAAAAGGACATTAGGTAAAAAACTAAGGAAATTTGAATAAAGTATGGACTTCAGTTAATAATAAGTATCAATATGGGTTCACTGGCTGCAACAAATGTATCATATTAATGTAAGATGTTAACAATAGAGGAAACTGGGCATGGAGTATATAGGGATTCTCTGTATTATCTTTGTGATTTTCCTGTAAATCTAAACCTGTTCTAAAATTAAAAGTTGTTTTTTTTTAATCAATGAAGTTATTACTTAGGTTAACTAAGTTGTTTAAGGGAGAGAGGATCCTCTGGGATTAGAGTGTGGGTATGTGTGCGTGTGTGTATATGCCTAAGTCAAGTCCTACCCACTCTACTTCAACTCACTCTGTACCTGAGTTCCTGAATTAGGTCTGGAACCATCTCTTCAACTCTAATTTTATAGAACAATAGAAATGTAATGCATGAGAGTCACATAATGTAATTTAAAATTTTCTAGTAGCCACATTTCAAAAAGTAAAAAGGAACAAGAGAAATTCATTTTAATATATACATTTTTTTAGTTTTAATAATATTTAACTCAATATATCCAAAACACTATCATTTCACTATGTGGCAACAGCCGCATTTCAAGCACTCAGTAGCTACACATCAACATTACAGCTCCAGAGCCACATACGTTTTAAGCAAACCACAGCATTCATAAATAGAAGCAGATTTTTCTGAATCCTCTGACTACAACCACTCTGCAAAGGCAAGAGAGAATCATGGAACAATGCTATGGCTTCTTCCGTACATGGCCATGTCTAGATGGTGTCCAAAAGCCTACAGGGCTTGGCATAACCCATCAGTTAGACTGAAGCATTTCCTTCCAGAAAGGACACCTGTCTTGCCCCACCACTTCCAGTTCTCTCCCTGACTCTCTCTTTGATATCCTGAGTTCAAAGCCCCATTCCACATGCACATCCCCAAGTCCCTAATCACTCATCTCCCCGCAAATGTAGGTGTTCATCAAGAGAGATTCACCCAACTCTAGTCTAGCACAGAAAGGAAGCAAAATTGAGGTCCAAGGTTCCTTTAAGAGTTCAACTAACATCACAAAGTCTGAGAAGCTGGGTCCTGACTAACCCTACAGCTGTTGTCTTCACCAGCAGCAGTATCACTAGTGGCTAATTTATCATGTACTTTCTCTGGGGAGAAAAAAAAGTGTGATAGGGTGTTATATGCTTTGTTTCATTTGATTTTTACAACACTGTAAGGTTGAAACTATTATCCCCTACCCCCGATTTTCCAGGTAGAGGAGACAGGCTTAGAGAGGCTAGGCAACTTGCTCAAGACTGCACATCTAGTAAGCAGCAGAGCTGGGATTCTAAACAGATCTGATGCCATGTGTGAACTGTAATCAATTTGCCATAATGCCTTTCTTGGTATTTCTGACTATATCTACAAAATGATAGGCTTCACAACAGACCATTTATCTCTCTGTTCATGGTGAGGTAAGCAACTAATTGCAAAGGAACATTTTGTTTAAGATCCTTCAGGAAGCCTGCCTGAGTAACAGAACCTCTGCCCCTATGAAGTATCCCCCCACTTAGGATTCATCATCAGAGGAAAAGGAGTGTCACAATTAGTATTAGCAATGGTTTCCACTCATCCATTGTCCTGGCTTTACCACAGAATAATAATCATTAAAATCAAAGTTTGAATACAGTGCCATAAGAATATTACTTAAGAAGGGACTGATCTCATTAGTCCAATTACTAAAACTATGTAAAATTCAAACACTTTAGTCTAACAGGAAAGTTTTTTTATTGTTTAAAATGTATCACAGAATAATCGAATTTCTTTTCTAAAATAAAGTTTTAAAATTTCAATCTTTTCTATTCTCTTTGGAAGTAACACTTTAATACACTGTACATGCACAGCAGAGGTAGCACATTGTATATTGCACACACTTAGTTGCAATTAATCCTACCTACTCCACTTCCATTTCAGTAAGTTAATATTTGGGGGAACAAACTGCTTTGGCTGAAAATTTTGCTCCAATTTTTTTTTTTTTTCTCCAATTTTTAACCTTCTTAACTCAGGTAAATTCTGGGTCAACTACCAAAGATGCCAGGAAGAGATTATAATTACTTTTATTCATACTGGTTTTTGCCATGGTTGTACATATTAATTTGTTAGTCCACAGATATACATCTGAAATTCATAACTACACAGATATATTTTTCATCTTTCTCTATTTATCAACTAGACACATTATAAAATGAGCAAGTACAAGTAATTATTAAGAGGGAAACCACAGCATTTTCAAGAATTACTAGCATTTAATTATTCAAGTCAGTAAGCATTTTTCCAGTGCCAGTTATACAGTCTCCTCTCAATTCTCATGTAGCTGCTGTGTTTGGGCATTACATTATACTGTACCTACAAGAGAGTCAAGACTTTTATTTTTAAGGTACTTAATTCAAAGGTTTCCTTCTATGTGGTAAGAATGGTTACATTAAAATATAAAGGTAAGAAAAAAAATCGATTGTAACAAATCTGTTTTCTTGGAATTGGCTGTTACAACTTTGCACCCAGGAATGATTTTGTTACTTTATAGAATAGCTTCCCAGTACAAAACCTATTAACCCAAACAAAAAAATGTTTCCTCAGCTAAAACTATCACAATTAAAAATGAGCAAAAATCCCACGGAAACCACAAATCCTGATATTCTGAGGCTCTGGGACTGAAGTCAAAGGAAGTAGTCTCCAACAACAATGACAACAAAAATCAAGATGATATTGGGCAGTGGAGGAAAGCAGAACTGAAGAGATGAGGCGAGGTGATGTATCATGAAGTGATGAGGCCATCAGCCAATTCGCCACAAAAATCTCCAAGGCAGCAAAGCCTGGTGGTATATGCTACCTTGGTTGTCTCCCCTTGTTCCCTCACTTGGACTCATACACCTCTTTAAGACACCATCCTCCACCTCCTCCAGAACTAACTGGGACTTCAGGAGATGAGTGGGGTGTAAATTCAGAGATCCTGGCTTGAAGCAAATGTCCCTATTAATAGAAAATAGGTGGGGGTAAGAAAAACAAAGAGGGGACTTCCCTGGTGGCGCAGTGGTTAAGAATCTGCCTGCCAATGCAGGGGACACGGGTTCGATCCCTGGTCCGGGAAGATCCCACATGCTGTGGAGCAACTAAGCCCGTGCGCCACAGCTACTGAGCCCACGTGCCACAACTACTGAAGCTCACGTGCCTAGAGCCAGTGCTCCGCAATGAGAAATCAGCGTACCGCAATGAAGAGCAGCCCCCGCTCACCGCAACTAGAGAAAGCCCGCGTGCAGCAACGAAGACCCAACGGAGCCATAACTAACTAACTAAATAAATAAATTTATATATTAAAAAAAAGAAAAACAAAGAAAGGAAGAAAATTATTTACAAACACAAAAGTTTGGGGGGAGGTAGGGAAAGGGAAAGAGGAATGACAACTTCGGTCCAGGAGAAATTACTGCTGGCATCAAGGATTGACTAACAGGGTGGAGCAAGGAAGTTGCCCACCAGTTCACAGATCAACGAGCACTCCTTTTGCTATACTTTACACCATAGAGCGAAGGTGGATGGTTCAATTTCACTAACAAAACTGAGCACCAAAGCCACAATCTTTTCTGCAAGTAAATACTCAAATTAAATCTGTACTGAGAGAAAAATAAATCCTAAAACAATGTCCTACAGACAAAAATCACAAGACATCATATTTATGTATCTGTTCATTCACTTAAAACATTTTCCTGAGCCCGTTCTAAGTAAATGCCAAGGAAATCAAACACAGCTCCCACCTTCACATAACTGACAGCCCAGTATCGAAAATGAGTTGTGCTAAAACACAAAAACAAAACTCTTCTGGATGAAAATTGTGGAATTTTAAAAGTGAGAAAAATTATCCTGTACCAAGTTTTACACAACACTGGGTTATGGATCCCCAGGAAGGATGAAAAATAATAAATGGGGATGGGGGTAAGAAAGATACTAATGATTACAGCAGCTAACACCAAGAAAGGGCTTTACATATGTTAAGTCATTTAATCTTCACAAAAACCCTATGAGAGACGCACAATTCTCTCCATTTTACCAAGAAGGAAAGTTGAGAGAGATTAAGAAACTTGCCTAAATACAACAACTTCTAAGTGGCAGAGCAGGGATTTGAATCCGGCTACTATGGCTCTTAACACTGCTTTGCTGCCTATAATAATAACATCATTACTAACAAGACAATGTTACTGTATGATGCACACTCATGATCTGGGTACGTTCACTGATTTTCTTTGGATACTCTCACATCTCTATATTTCACAAACAAACAAAACCCAGCCAAAACTAAGACTCAGAGTAACGTTCCCAAGGTTATACGAGTCACAAGGCAGCGGAGTCCAGATTAGAGCCCAGATGGCTCAGAAGCCAAAGGCTCTTTACACTGCACCCCACAACCCAGCTTGGATTCTCCCCTAACCCTCAACCAACCTCAAGCATCCCTCTGGGAGGCCCCAACACCACCTGCCTCCAGGCTCCCTCCTCAGAGACACATTTATTCAGGTGTCGTTCCATTGCCCACTGCCCAAGCCTCCCGGCTCTCCGGGCCACCCCCGCCCAGCCTGGGCAGGGCTCTTACCAGGCGGGAGTCGGGGGACCCTCGCAATCTTATTGGTGATCTCTGCAGTGAGCACCGCGAAGTCCTGCTCGTAGCCTTCGAAGTCGGACGACATGGCGGCTCCGGAGTGGCCGGCCCGGGCCGGAGCCTAGGTCAGGGCTGGGGCTACGCGGGGCAGGAAAAGACGGTGTAGGAACACGGGAAGCTCCCTAGAGAGCGGAGCGGAGAAGCCGGGGTAGCTCCCAGCCAGGCCGCTTCCTGGTTGTTCTTCGCGATCTTGGTCCTCCGGAACTTAGGCTGGGTGCGCTTTTTATTTTCCGTTCGGGCTTCAAGATTAAGAAATTCGCTAAGGAAAAGCCCTTCAGTTAGTGCCCCCAAAAGCTTAAAAAATAATCGTGAATTTTTTCGTGATTTCGTGAATCACCGAAAGCATTTTTTTGCCCCTCCACGTTTTGGAAAGCGGCTCCGGCTCCCCAAGCTACAAGTCAGAGGGGCTTGTTTCCAGGGGGAAGTTTGATGCGGCGAACCTCCCGGAAGTGGCTGTCACGGAGTCTGCGCACTGAGCCTGAGCGGGAGAGCTGCGGCGAGGCCGCTGGCGGAGCAACGCGAGGGTGGAGGCTGGTCCCGACCTCCAGCCTCTAGCACACAGGATTTACTTTCTACTTGCGCTCGGCTGGGGTACCCATGACGGAGTTATCCGAGCCTGAGAAAACCTGCTCCGGGTGAGCCCGAGCCGCCCCGGAAATGCGATGGCCAAAGAGCGGGCACTGAGGACCAGACCGAGGTGGGAGTCAAAGCACGGGACGTAACCATGATTTGGCGGTCTTCGCTCCACCCGAGTGAGGCCAGAGTCTCCAGAGTGTTGAGACCAACCACTCTTACCAAGATGTTCTTCCCCTGAGTGAGGATTTCTAAGCGCTCTGCTCCATGACACGGGCGGGAAATTGAGGCACAAGGCAGCGGCATCTGTTGCATGGAAGTCTTTGTTACTCTGTTCCTCTGGTCTTCTTCCCTTGACTCACTCCAGTCCAGTCCGAAATACCCTTCTACAGATCTTCCCGGCGCTCGCCGTCCTGACTTGCCCGTCCCTCGCTCCGGGAGACACTTCCTCTTCTTTTTTTTTTTTTTTCTCAAATATTTTCATCATGTTCCTTCTCATATACACCTCCGATTCTGAGTTCACACACACTTATCTCTCCCCTCCCTTCCTTGCAGTCTCTTTGCTTTCACCCTCCCGCTTCTTTACTTTGACACAGATTAGACCTTTAAGTTAGTGTTTGGGGGGCAACCGCAGGCAAATGGTGTAGACCATGTCTGGATCATACTTTATGTAATTCGAGACTGGGTAAGAGGCAGTTTAGAACTCCATAGAGGGAGTTTGATGACTTGGCTTCTGTTGAGTTACCGCCGTGGTTTACTCACTCAGCCTCTCCAAGCCATTTTCTTTTCTATGAAGAAGGAAGCTGGATTAGGCCAACCCTAAGGCCCTCCTTCCCAGCTCTAAAATTCTTCGTCTCCTCAAACCATTTACTAAACGGTTGCATAGACACAGTCCTCTGACAAGTTGGGAACAAAAGAATAAAAACAACTATTTTACAATCACGTGTCCAGTTTAGGTGCTATTCAGACATGAGGAAAGTTTGGATACGACGAAAATAGTTCTTTTTGACGTTTGATGAGGTACTCGTTCCATAGTAAAGTACTTGTGAGCTGCTTTTGTTTAGGTGATTATTGGAATTAACAAATACAGTACATAGTAAAATGTCTTACCGAACTTTCTCATTTTGTTTCTTTAGATTGGATTTCAAACCAAGGTACTGGATTCTCCTAGAAAACATAAAGAGTGTGTAACAGTGAACATGGCATAATCTGCATTAACATCCCACAATGTGAAGGCATGACAATTAAGGAACACACGTGGACTTGTGGCACATGGAAATGTATGCACAGAAAAAGGAAATCTGTAGTTCTTTAAAAACAGGAACGAGTTCTTCCTCACCAAAATGGGTACATTCTGCTCAGTTATCAAGTTTGAAAATCTACAAGAAGTAAAGAGACTTTGTCACTGGGGTCCCATTATAGCCCTTGGTGTTATAGCAATATGTTCTACCATGGCCATGATTGACTCTGTGTTGTGGTATTGGCCCTTACATACCACTGGAGGAAGCATGAACTTCATCATGCTGATAAATTGGACTGTCATGATTCTTTATAATTACTTCAATGCCATGTTTGTTGGTCCTGGCTTCGTCCCTCTGGGGTGGAAACCGGTAAGAAAAAGATTCCTTAAGATGGTGAACCCTCATGATAATCATATATTTAGCTTTTGCCTTATCTGCCAACCAATAAGATCAAACACAGCCTGCTCTTTGATTTGGTAGAGACTAAGTGTATTATTCTAATCACCGATTATTTAGAGCTCAAAGAATTTATTTTATACTGGTTTGAAAGTATGGATCTAAATTAGTATTTCCCAAAGCAATTTCATTAAATATTTCTGCTTTAAAAAAAAAAAAATGGAGGGGTGGTGATGAGTGCATAAGTTTCTAGGAAACACTGCATATCATTCACCTCATAATTCTACAGTGTGGTTTGGCTCTAGGATCTTTTTTCATGTAACATATTAACATTCCTTATAATTGAGAAAAACTCTTTAGAAACTACTGTTTTAAACCATGAAGTATTCAGAAATAACGGACAGCCTGGTAATAACAAGTCACGCCTTATGAATAAATACTATGGTTTGATTTTCTTTTATGGGAGATGGGGAAAGGATGGAATTTGAATTTTAACTTGCATTTCCAGCCATTATATTTGAGTTAAAATATTTTTAAATAGTGAATTTCTGGTAACAGCAACATCACTTTTCCAATTACCCAGAAGTTTATGTTTTATTTCTATTTTGCTGTCAAGGAAAATTCTCAGGATAGCATGTACCTCCAATATTGTAAAGTCTGCCAAGCATACAAGGCACCACGGTCACATCATTGCAGAAAGTGTAACAGGTACTGTCTTTGCTATTCATTGGGGATTGATCAACTTGATTACTGGTCTTTTGTTGTTATTCTTTCTACCACATCAATCCTAGTTTTATTTTCTGCAAGGTGGCTACTTTCTAAATAATGTCAAAATAATTAAGTGTCATAATCTTCATTTTACTTTTAAATTGTCAATTCTGATAAGTATTACTCTTTTTTGTTGTAAGTGAAAAGATTTTTCTAGAAAAGTACAGGTTTACTTTGCTTCTTGCCTTGCCAAGAGCAGGGTAAAAAGTTATACCGTTAGGTTGTTTTCATAAATCAGGATTAATTCTCGACTGTCATCTTGACTAGCCTTAGAATTGTTCTGAGTCTAAATTATAAATGAGACCTGCTTTTTCCATTATTTAGTTGACTAACATTTACACTTTATACAGATCTAATAAATGAATCCAGGTGCCTATTATCACAGGTGTTTTATATACAAAACTTAATTGGAAGAAAACAGAATCACTATGAAAAATGTGAATTAAGCTAGAACCTTTTTTAATGAACACCTATGTCCAGTGATAAATAAGAAATTTATGATGAGAATGCTGAGGTTTAGGGGGACCATTGGAGGGGCAAATAAAGTTTAGTTTGAGGCAAGAAAATTTTCTTCTAGCAGCCTCAAGGAAGGGAAACAGAGTGAGACTTTGCTTATTAAACCACATCTTATATTCCGGAGTTAGCTTGCTTAGCTTAGAGACTCCACATCTAAAGAATACGAGCAGGAAGGAAGGAAGTTACAAGCGTCTGCTAGGCCCCATCAACCCCAGTGGAGATTTATAAGTAATTTTGTTCCGTCTCTGTTGTTTTCCACTTCAGTCACTGCATTTCAGAGCTAGAGGAAAACCAGGAACTATGCTCATTTCTTTATAATGAACCTCTCAGCGGGCCTCCAGACTTCTTTAAACAAAGTCACTTGTAGCAGACATCTTTTCCTCAGATGCTGTTACAAAGCCTGCCCTTTCTTGTGGTGTTTAAAATTTAAAATAAGTCACTGTTTAAAAACTCATAAAGATTTTTCTTTGTTTTCCATGAAGTATAATTCCTCTGTGACCATGCGTGGACATGCTAGATTCCGATGTGCTTGATCTTTTGAAGACCAAAGTTATTTAAAGTAGACAGGATTTTCTGCCTCACATTTCATGTAAATTTTTCTTGTTAGGTGTGTGATGAAGATGGACCATCACTGTCCTTGGATCAACAACTGCTGTGGTTATCAAAATCATGCTTCGTTCACACTGTTTCTCCTTTTAGCACCACTGGGTTGTATTCATGCTGCCTTTATTTTTGTTATGACAATGTATACACAGCTTTATAATCGGGTAAGAAAATGTTATAAAATCATGCCAGCTTAAATAGTAGTTATTAAGATTATTTAAGAAGTTCCTTTTGGAAATATGCTTTCTACAATTTAGGTGGGGAAATAGAACTTTGTTTTATAATCCTCAATAAGGACTCCTTTTAAAAAAGCAGTAAAACAGTTTTTAAGATGAGGAAAGATTATTTTGTTCTGGAAACTCACCTTATATGCTCTAGTTGAAGTTGACAATTATTTTAGTACTATATATAACTTACCGGACTTCAAACTTGGTAGCTGTGGTAAAGAATAGTTAGAGGAAAAGGCAGAAGAGGGAGAAAAAAGGCAATACTAGTGCTTTCTGTTTCCATTCGATCCTGTGGCCCGTTGTAGTTCTTTTGTTCATTTCTAAATCCAGTGTCCTGGAACGTGGCTCACAGAGCAGGTACACATTCTAAGATATGGTGCAACTGATTGAGTTGATTTATGGGCAAGTAGTCATGAGATAAAGTTCAGTCGTCACAAATTGAGGCCCCTAAAGAGGCCTGGAGGGTCAGTGAGGGAAACAGGCTTGGTGGGATGTGGTAAGCTGGAAAACAAAGGTCCTTCACACAGGGAACAGCCCATGTTTGACTTCAGCCAGTTCTTGATGTTTGGAAATCCAGCCTGGTGATGTCAGATCATCCGGTTTTTCAAGAAAAATCTGAAAATCTGGACTTTTTATGTGAAATCTGATTTCTAAATCACTAAATTTCTAAATGTTGGTACCTAACTGAATATTTTAAAACATTTTGTAGGCCAGGCAGTACACATCGGCAGGCCATATTTGGCCTACATTTTGCTAGTTTTTAAACCTCTCCTTGTGGAACATGAGGGGAGAAACCACTGAATCCTAGGCTATGTTTGTCACTGTGGAAATCACTGTAAATAGAGGAAAACAAGGAGAGGATAGGAGACGCAGTTACAGCTTAGATTGGTGGTGTTCACGCATAGTAATGTTTGTGCGGTCTACCTAACACTTTCTGAGGGAACAATAACAAACAAAAAACGTT